ATTATAAGAAATATGCACAATATATATTTCTTAATTCAACATAATTTTTCTCTCAATATATTTGAAAGTTTGTGTAAGCTGTCTGAAATTCAACATGGTGAAGACTAAAGCCAATTTGAATGTCATACTGAGATTTTGAATATATTTGATAACCAACTTCCTGATAATAATGAATGAGCACCATATGGTAGTTATCAAAATAATGTTTCAGCACATGAATTTATTGAATCAATTGGCTGTGTTATAGAACAAGAGTCTTTTCAAAAACTACATAACTCAGATAGTTGAAGTCTTATAATTGATGAAAACAATACTATATCTACTGAAAAAACCTTGGCTATTGTTTCTAAATATTCAATTGCACTAGCAAAACCAATTTATCAATTTCTTGGATTAATTTTATTAGCAGATAATACTGCAAATATAATAATTGCTAAACTTAATCAGTTTTTTCAAGCAAAATATATGTTATATGATAATTTAGTACATATTTGTGTAGACAGTGCCAGTACAATAAGAGGTTAGATATTAAATTTTATTTTTATATATATTTTTTGAAAAAAATTAATATTTATAATTATTATGCTATAGATTCTTGTATTGGTGTAATGACTTAACTTAAAAATAAAAATCTATTTATTTTGGAGAACCATTGTATTTCTTATAAATTGGCATTGGCTGGAAATAATGCAGCAAAACAAGTTGATAAATTTAAGCAATATGAAAAAATTGTACATAATATTTATAGTTATTTTTCACGAAGTTCAGAACATATGATGCATCTTCAAATAATAGAAGAAAATATTGGTGATCCATATCTTATAGTTTTAAATATTATTAAAACCTGCTGATTGTAGTTATTCAATGTTATTCAAAATCTGCATCAAATTTTAAATTCAATAATTGATGCATTGCATGAAGATTCATATAAAAATGTAGTTGCAGAAGCTTTATATAATAATATTGATGAGACCTTTATTATTATAACAAAATTTTTTGCTGATATTCTTGAAATACTAAGATAAATGAATCTTCTTTTTCAAAAAAATAATATAACAATTTATGAAGTAAAAACTTAACTTGATATTACTATTTATACTATTTAATCACAATTTCTTGGAACAGATGAAGTTGAACTATCTTGGGGAACTTATTTGTGCAAATATATGAATAAACAAAATATTATCACAGAAGAGTTACCTATTATTATTACAAAATTTGCATATACTGCAATTGAATCATTAGAGAAAAGATTTCTGAACCAAATTCAGGTCAATGCATTTTATATTTTTGATCCAATGTCTTTACCAACTAAAAAATCTGAACTTCAAAAGTATGGTAAAAATGAAATTGAAATTCTGAGTAATTTTTATGATCAAGACAAATATATATAAGAAAATTTATTCATTGCAATTTTAAATCCTGAAAATTTAAATCATGAATGGCTATTAGTTAAATTTTTTCTAATTATAAAAATTTTAATTTTTTAGAAGCATAGAAATGTATTTTTTCTGATCTTTCTACTTTTAGTAAAATTTACCCTGAAACTACAAAGTTAATTTCCATTTTAGCTAATCTTTTTTTAACTAATGCAGTTGTTGAATATATTTTTTCTCAACAAAATTTAATTAAGACTAAACTTCAAAATTGTATGAATATTTATACCTTGAATTATCTTCTTCTTATTTCTTTTAATAGACCTAAATTAGAAAATTTTAATTTTTAATTAGCATATCAAGAATGGAGTAAACTTGATGTAGAATTAAATAATTAGAATAGTATCAGTATATATAAAGATATATATATAAAATTTTATTATATATATATTATATTATATTTACCCGAAATAGAATACAACAAAGAGTATGTATTATATAATTTAATAACAAGTGTGCAATTCTTGGCATCTAATTGAATGCCCTTTCTTCATGACTCTGCCTTCTATATTTGTGTATAATATTAAGTTTTTTTATAAATTAAATACTATTGCTATGCATAATATATAAATCTAAAAATACTTTTAATATATGCAAGTTATATCTTGCTTTTACCTGTTTATTCATAGTTCTACTTGTATTAGTTTTATCAAAGTATTTATCTAATAAAATTTTGATGATTGATAAAACTTCTGGTGATTAATAAAATTTAACATCAATAAAATATAGCTTATTCTCATCCAATTAACATCTTAATAATGATATCTGGAAATTCTAAGTATTATATTTTTTTCGAATTTATAGCTATTTTATTATAAAATTTCATAAGTTTACTTTTTAATTTAATACACAACATATTTTCCTATTTCTAATATCATAGGTTATTTAGTGGCATTTATCACCAAAATGTAGCTCAAATAATAAGTGCAATTACTATACTAACAATTAAAGCTGATAAAAAAAGAATAAGTACTATATTTTATATTCTATTTGTTATTACTAGAAAGAATCAATACTAACTTTATATTTTTACTTTGCTTATAAATCAAAATTTTGACTTTATATTATTAAGTTGATTATATATTTTTTATATACTGCTGCTATTATCTTTTACTTACTTATTGTGTTACTAATCTCTGTGTTATTAGTTTATAAAATTCGATTCTGGCCCCAATCAATAATCACACAGATAATGTGGACAAGATAGGTTTGTATCATATCATAGAAATTTATTTTACAGATTCCTTGTTTCACAGACAATTAATTTATATACAAGTTTATTTTAAAGACAATTAATTTACAGACAGTTCATTTCATAAACAGTTCATTTTATAGATATTTCATTTCGTAGGCAATCTTTAACAGCAAATAACTTCTGAATCAGTGTTAAAAATTCTCTACAAAATAAAATACGTGTAGCATATGTATATACATATAACACATTATATTAAAACAATTATTTAACTATTTAATGTTAAGTATTTTTAATTGTTCTTATTATATAAATAATTAATTAAAGATGGCTAAGTCAACTTCAAAAGCTACTTCAAACAATAACTTTGTAAATTACAATATTATATAAGATTAGTTAAAA